CATAGACATCACCTAAGGCAAGACAGCTCAGTGGTCAGAGTGTGGAAGGTAGGACACAGGAGTCACAGCACTGAGTGCTGTACTTAGCAGTGGGTCAACAATGGGGATGGTCAGAGTCCCTGGCCAGATGCCTTGTCAAGAGAGGTCCTGAGAGGCAAGGAAGGGCAGACAAGAGCCCTTCCCATGTGTCTTGCTTGAGGGTTTCAGCCTTGGACAAGTTCACTCTAGATTCAGTGAGACCAAAAAATGACAACAGCATGTTGGTGGTAAAAGGGTTTATACCCAGCTTTATTCTCATGGTGGCAGGTCAAACACTAGCATCGGTCCACCTCAGGGCAAGTCAGCATGCAGCAAGCTGGTCTCTGTCTCCGGGACTCTCTGCCACCTCACAGCCCCAGAGCGCTGGGCAGAGCTCTTTACATCGAGTCAATGATAGTGCACTGGAGCATGTGTGTAAGCCTGTGCCTTTGTGAGCACTACATGTGCGCAGCAGGCAGGTGAGAATCCTGGCCACAGAACTTCCATTCTTTCTACCCCGTGCTGGACCATAGCACACGGCACCTGTCTTCAGCTAAGTACTCAGTAGGGGCACCTTTATGATCCATCTACCATGGCAACTGTGTCTGGAACACTGTCCCCATGCCAGAACCTGTCCCAGACATAGAGGACAAAAGCTCTATGACAATACAGATATCACCGACAAGGCATGCACAATCTCACCAAGGGGAGGTATCGGCAGGCTTATTCCCTAGAAGATAGCAGACGAAGTTAAAAAGAAAAAGGATGGAGTAAGATATGAATCTTGAAATTCCTGCTGCTCAGGGCTGATGTTCCTACTCTAAAGGAATGGGAGGACCCCAGCCTACCAGGATCCATTCTCTGCAGCGGCATATGCTGATCATACAACAGTAATGCCACCATTGAATTCTTCACCACCTAATGGCCGTGCACAAACTTCACCTCTCACAGAGGTTAGGGACTGGCCAAGGGCCCCAGCTCTAACTCCACACGCTCCTTCCTTCACCCCACAGTGACCTCGCAGCCTCACTGGTAGAGGTGACACCCCAGGGCTCCCAGGGTGGCATCTGTTGCTGAGTTACCAGAATGAACCCTGCCTGCTACAAGCAGACCATCTCTGGCTATCACATTTGCTCAAGCTGCAAGGCACACTGTGACCTGCAGAATTCAGATGCAGAATTCTCCCAGGAGCAAATAGCTGGGCTGTCTGAATGTCAGGCTTCATAATGAAAATGGATACCAAAACAAGCTCCTGCCAGCCTATCTGGACTGCAGAAAGCCAGTGGGGAGTGCCACCTCTAGCTCACAGCCCACTTAGCTAAGTGAAGAAGCCTGGCAATGAACATGGCTAAATGGGGTTGGACCTGTCACTGAGCCTTAGAGACCCTTTGGAGACATCTGTGTGCACGGTGGACAGGGGCAGATGCTCATACTCCTTCACAGGGGTGCGCTGCTGACAAGTCAGCACCACAGCCTTGACCTCCTTCTTGAAGTTGGTGTTGAGAAAGCCATAGATGAAAGGGTTGACACAGGTGGAGGCCATGGCAAGCAAGTGGCACATCAAGAAGATGAGGTTGCCATGACAGATGGGAATGGCTTCCTGGTACCAGTCCTCCAGGGTGTTGAACACATGAAGGGGTAGCCAGAGCACGGCAAAGGCAGCCACCATTGCCACGAGGATCCCATTGATCCTCTTCATCTGCCAAGCCCGTGAGCTGTAGGTGCCCTTGCAGAAGACCTGCCTCCGCTTCTGCAGGTGCTGGTAGATGCGTACGTAGCAGACCAGGATGAAGGCCAGTGGAATGCAGTACTGGAAGAGCAGCAGGAAGGTGGTGTAGATGATGCGGTGGTGGTCCACTGGCCAGGACTCAGTACAGACTGCCTTATCCTCTAGGAACTTTACAGCCTTGGAGTGGTTCCTGTGGAAGACATTCTCTAGGACACTGTTGGCCATGAAGGGCAGGGAGAGGCAGCAGGCAATGAGCCAGATGGCAATAATCCCCAGGTAGGCCTGGAAGACACTGGGCTTCCAGCCTGTTGGGTTGATGATCAGCTGATGCCGCTCCAGGGCCACAAGGACGAGTGAGAAGATGGAGACTGTCACTGACATGCATTGGATGAAGGCTGACATCTTGCAAAGGGCCTCACCAAAGACCCAGTAGTCCATGATGGTGTAGATGGCTGTGAGTGGCTGGCAGATGAGGCACAGGAGGAAGTCAGAGAAGGCCAGGTTGGCAATGAGCAGGTTGGTCACATTGGCCTTCTCCTTCTGCCTAATGGTCACGCATATCAGGCAGAGGTTGCCCAGGACCCCCACAATGGTCTCGATGCTGTAGGAGGTGATAATGAAGCCCATTGGATCTACCGAATCCTGGCAGTGGTCAGAGAAGTTGTATGGAGTGCCCTTTGACTTGCTGCTGTTTTGACCCTGTGGGGATCCTGGGAGCAGCAAGGCCAGGATATGAGAGATGTTCATGGTGCATGTGAGGGAATTCCAAGAGATGCAGTGATGATGCCTGCAAAGCAAACAGGCAAATGTTGCTCAGGGATTGTGCCTCCTGTGTGGAATCCATTGAGGAGTGTGGGCTAGGTAGAGAGGTTCATGGCTGCTTCCATCCTAAGCCTGGGACCTGGAGGACCTGACACCAGAGGTGTAAAGCCACTTTCCCAAAGTCACACAGCTAATAAGCAATGAGGCCCAGATACAAACCAAGCCTGTCTGTCACCACTTGTTCCCTCTGACCTCAGGCTGCAAGGCTGTTCTGATGACAAATAAAGTGGATTGTAACATGCAGAGTTCAGGGACAGAACTGTTTTTGGAGCATGGATAGATATTCCCTTGTCCCATCTAATGCAAACAGAGACAACATCAAATTCCACTGTGTGCCCAGGTCCTTCCATGGCAATGTATGCCCATTAGGACAGAAGTGAAACCTCAGGGCCTGCTGGGTCTCAGCCCCTACCTGCCCTGCCAGCCTTGCTTCTCAGGGCACTGGATCATCAGCACATCAGCTCTCTCCTCCTGCCCACCAGATGTACACATATGCCTGGCCAAGGTCATGCATGGCCCCTAGGACAGAGGACCCCATCCTGCAGGGATGTTCCTAGCAGAATCCAGTTAGGAAGGAGAGAGGACTCAAATGCCACCTGGTAAAAAGCTATCCCAACCAGGCCACAACTCCAGCAATTGGGATTTAAGAGTTCAGGGTCAGGAATAGCCTGAGTGAGACCATGTGGGTGCAGGAAACTTGGAGCAGCTAGCTGAACCTGAAAGAGTATCTTTTCACCAAAGAGCAAAATATGCCCACATGTAGCCAGAGATGAAACAACCAGCCAAAATTAAATCTACCTTCTCAGCAATACCATTTTAAAGCCATATGTCCAGAGCTAGGATTCATTCCTAAAGCTCTGTGCTAGATCCCACAGTGGGTGTCTACATGTGCTCACCAAGTGGCTCCAGACTCCAGGGCAATTTGTTTCCTAGAGCAGAGCTTCTCAAAATTGAATGCATGCACCATCAACTTGGACATCTCAAAAAAATGCCTATTCCAATTCACTAAGTCTGGAGTGGGCACAGGTCTGGAGAGGGAACTGCATGTCTAACAAGGTCCAGGTGTTGTGAGGCTGCTGGTCTTCCGAGCATACTTTGAGCAGCAGCATGTTCCCAGGGTCCCAGGTAACTGGGCAACCCAAGGGTCATTAGGCACAGGCAGATTGTGTCAATACAAGCAAGGGGACAGCAACAAAGAAGACACTCAACCCACTAACTCATTCTTAATGCCAGGTACCTTCACAAGACACCCAGCCTGGTTTCCCAGTCATCAAGCATGCTGGCACCCTAAAGCATCCTTGTCCCCAAGAATCTTGGCACCACTTAGGTGAGTGATGAGGAGCAAACTCCAGGCAATTGCAGAAGTTCTGCAAGGACCTGAGCACCTGATTCTTTGGAGAGCTCGGTCAGTGCCATCCTGCTAGGATGGGACCCAGGGTCTAGGCTTCACTGGCAGATAGTTACCTGGAGCAGACAGCAGCAGAGGGCAGGCACAAGCTGCACCAATAAAGGGGCTCAAAATCTGTGTCAAAACCCAGGATAAAGGTGAACAAAGGAACAGAATCAGAGATGTGACCAAAAGGTGGGACCAAAAAAAATCGCTCCAGAAAGGGAGCTGGTGGCTCAAAAGAGCTCTCATCTGGGGTGTCAGCTGCACAGGTTCTTGGTCAGGGACCAGGGCAGAAAGGTGGTAAGAATGTCTCTTCAATGCTCTCTCTGGCCCTTTGCCAGATCTCCAGTGTACAGCAACCCTAGGAGCCTCAGTGAGGCCCCCCGAGGGCTCTGGGCACCTGAATACCCTGCCCAGGAGGAATGGAGGGTCCGGCCACTGGCCACTCTGCTGGAGGGTGGGTGGCTCTGAGCAGGGGCTAGGCCTAGACATCCGATCAAGGAGGCCCAAGAGCAATCTTGAGCTTTTTTCCCCCGCCAGCACAGGCTGTGTGGTCCCCACACAAAGCGTTGGCTCTGGCTCAGCATCCAGAAAATTGGGCCACGACCTCCACGCATGAGACATTCACAGTCATCATAGCCCTTTCTCCATTTTCCCTGGCTGGTTCGAGGAGAGGGGACCACCTGCTCCTTTCAGCCAGTGTCCCACTAAGCTACAGTCCAAGAACTTCCCACACTTGCTACTTCTGAAGGCCTGGAGAAGCTTTGGAAGAACCATAGACATCACCTAAGGCAAGACAGCTCAGTGGTCAGAGTGTGGAAGGTAGGACACAGGAGTCACAGCACTGAGTGCTGTACTTAGCAGTGGGTCAACAATGGGGATGGTCAGAGTCCCTGGCCAGATGCCTTGTCAAGAGAGGTCCTGAGAGGCAAGGAAGGGCAGACAAGAGCCCTTCCCATGTGTCTTGCTTGAGGGTTTCAGCCTTGGACAAGTTCACTCTAGATTCAGTGAGACCAAAAAATGACAACAGCATGTTGGTGGTAAAAGGGTTTATACCCAGCTTTATTCTCATGGTGGCAGGTCAAACACTAGCATCGGTCCACCTCAGGGCAAGTCAGCATGCAGCAAGCTGGTCTCTGTCTCCGGGACTCTCTGCCACCTCACAGCCCCAGAGCGCTGGGCAGAGCTCTTTACATCGAGTCAATGATAGTGCACTGGAGCATGTGTGTAAGCCTGTGCCTTTGTGAGCACTACATGTGCGCAGCAGGCAGGTGAGAATCCTGGCCACAGAACTTCCATTCTTTCTACCCCGTGCTGGACCATAGCACACGGCACCTGTCTTCAGCTAAGTACTCAGTAGGGGCACCTTTATGATCCATCTACCATGGCAACTGTGTCTGGAACACTGTCCCCATGCCAGAACCTGTCCCAGACATAGAGGACAAAAGCTCTATGACAATACAGATATCACCGACAAGGCATGCACAATCTCACCAAGGGGAGGTATCGGCAGGCTTATTCCCTAGAAGATAGCAGACGAAGTTAAAAAGAAAAAGGATGGAGTAAGATATGAATCTTGAAATTCCTGCTGCTCAGGGCTGATGTTCCTACTCTAAAGGAATGGGAGGACCCCAGCCTACCAGGATCCATTCTCTGCAGCGGCATATGCTGATCATACAACAGTAATGCCACCATTGAATTCTTCACCACCTAATGGCCGTGCACAAACTTCACCTCTCACAGAGGTTAGGGACTGGCCAAGGGCCCCAGCTCTAACTCCACACGCTCCTTCCTTCACCCCACAGTGACCTCGCAGCCTCACTGGTAGAGGTGACACCCCAGGGCTCCCAGGGTGGCATCTGTTGCTGAGTTACCAGAATGAACCCTGCCTGCTACAAGCAGACCATCTCTGGCTATCACATTTGCTCAAGCTGCAAGGCACACTGTGACCTGCAGAATTCAGATGCAGAATTCTCCCAGGAGCAAATAGCTGGGCTGTCTGAATGTCAGGCTTCATAATGAAAATGGATACCAAAACAAGCTCCTGCCAGCCTATCTGGACTGCAGAAAGCCAGTGGGGAGTGCCACCTCTAGCTCACAGCCCACTTAGCTAAGTGAAGAAGCCTGGCAATGAACATGGCTAAATGGGGTTGGACCTGTCACTGAGCCTTAGAGACCCTTTGGAGACATCTGTGTGCACGGTGGACAGGGGCAGATGCTCATACTCCTTCACAGGGGTGCGCTGCTGACAAGTCAGCACCACAGCCTTGACCTCCTTCTTGAAGTTGGTGTTGAGAAAGCCATAGATGAAAGGGTTGACACAGGTGGAGGCCATGGCAAGCAAGTGGCACATCAAGAAGATGAGGTTGCCATGACAGATGGGAATGGCTTCCTGGTACCAGTCCTCCAGGGTGTTGAACACATGAAGGGGTAGCCAGAGCACGGCAAAGGCAGCCACCATTGCCACGAGGATCCCATTGATCCTCTTCATCTGCCAAGCCCGTGAGCTGTAGGTGCCCTTGCAGAAGACCTGCCTCCGCTTCTGCAGGTGCTGGTAGATGCGTACGTAGCAGACCAGGATGAAGGCCAGTGGAATGCAGTACTGGAAGAGCAGCAGGAAGGTGGTGTAGATGATGCGGTGGTGGTCCACTGGCCAGGACTCAGTACAGACTGCCTTATCCTCTAGGAACTTTACAGCCTTGGAGTGGTTCCTGTGGAAGACATTCTCTAGGACACTGTTGGCCATGAAGGGCAGGGAGAGGCAGCAGGCAATGAGCCAGATGGCAATAATCCCCAGGTAGGCCTGGAAGACACTGGGCTTCCAGCCTGTTGGGTTGATGATCAGCTGATGCCGCTCCAGGGCCACAAGGACGAGTGAGAAGATGGAGACTGTCACTGACATGCATTGGATGAAGGCTGACATCTTGCAAAGGGCCTCACCAAAGACCCAGTAGTCCATGATGGTGTAGATGGCTGTGAGTGGCTGGCAGATGAGGCACAGGAGGAAGTCAGAGAAGGCCAGGTTGGCAATGAGCAGGTTGGTCACATTGGCCTTCTCCTTCTGCCTAATGGTCACGCATATCAGGCAGAGGTTGCCCAGGACCCCCACAATGGTCTCGATGCTGTAGGAGGTGATAATGAAGCCCATTGGATCTACCGAATCCTGGCAGTGGTCAGAGAAGTTGTATGGAGTGCCCTTTGACTTGCTGCTGTTTTGACCCTGTGGGGATCCTGGGAGCAGCAAGGCCAGGATATGAGAGATGTTCATGGTGCATGTGAGGGAATTCCAAGAGATGCAGTGATGATGCCTGCAAAGCAAACAGGCAAATGTTGCTCAGGGATTGTGCCTCCTGTGTGGAATCCATTGAGGAGTGTGGGCTAGGTAGAGAGGTTCATGGCTGCTTCCATCCTAAGCCTGGGACCTGGAGGACCTGACACCAGAGGTGTAAAGCCACTTTCCCAAAGTCACACAGCTAATAAGCAATGAGGCCCAGATACAAACCAAGCCTGTCTGTCACCACTTGTTCCCTCTGACCTCAGGCTGCAAGGCTGTTCTGATGACAAATAAAGTGGATTGTAACATGCAGAGTTCAGGGACAGAACTGTTTTTGGAGCATGGATAGATATTCCCTTGTCCCATCTAATGCAAACAGAGACAACATCAAATTCCACTGTGTGCCCAGGTCCTTCCATGGCAATGTATGCCCATTAGGACAGAAGTGAAACCTCAGGGCCTGCTGGGTCTCAGCCCCTACCTGCCCTGCCAGCCTTGCTTCTCAGGGCACTGGATCATCAGCACATCAGCTCTCTCCTCCTGCCCACCAGATGTACACATATGCCTGGCCAAGGTCATGCATGGCCCCTAGGACAGAGGACCCCATCCTGCAGGGATGTTCCTAGCAGAATCCAGTTAGGAAGGAGAGAGGACTCAAATGCCATCTGGTAAAAAGCTATCCCAACCAGGCCACAACTCCAGCAATTGGGATTTAAGAGTTCAGGGTCAGGAATAGCCTGAGTGAGACCATGTGGGTGCAGGAAACTTGGAGCAGCTAGCTGAACCTGAAAGAGTATCTTTTCACCAAAGAGCAGCCTGTTTCTCAGGTTCTCTGAGGGCCCTTGGGGTCAAGAACAGGATCCTTTGTCACTCAAATAGAGCTGCCCCAGGCATCTGGGGGGAGAGCAAAGAACCACCTAAGGATAGGAGTGAGGCCAACAGCCTGAATGTTTGTCCTGGCCTCACACCCTAGCTCTGCTCTCTGTCAGGAAATGGCTTTGGGAAAATCATGGAACCTTGCCGGGCCCCAGTGTCCTCAGCTGCCCAGGGAGGGAGGCTAGCAATTATCTTGTAGGGCGGTCTGATTACCTCCTCAGTCAGGAAGTGAAATAGGGAAGAGGAGAGCCTGAAACGTAGGATCCTGACGCTCCCCCTCCCTGGGACTCTTTCAGGTTCAGTCTCCAACTTGGTTCTTTGGGCAAATGACATCATTTGAAGGGCCAGGTCCTGCTCAGGAGCATTCTTTGCCACCTCCCAGGAAGCTGAGTTGCCCTTTTTGCAACAAGACCACCCAGCACATGGTGCTCACTGAATGCTAGTTTCCTTCCCTTCCCAGTCATCCTACCAACCCCACCCAAGGGGACCTTGCCCCTCTACCCCATGAGGAAGTGGCCACAGCAATCACACAAACCCATGTACAGGCCTCTAAGCATACCTGGCTCCAGCTCTGGCCCAAAGCCTCTTCAGGAAGCCCTGGGACCAGCCACGTACCCCAAGGCTTTGCCTGGTGCCTGGCCTCAGAAGGGCACCAGTCCTGCTGCACAGCCCTCCTGCCCTTCTCTGAGCCCTGCCCCAGAGGTGGGTACCTGCCTCTCTCCAGGGCTAGAAAGGGTCACACTCCCACTTGCTCTCTCAGAGCTGAGGACCAGCCCCACCCAGAAGTGAGTGGCCAGCCTGGGAGAAGATACACCTAATGGTGCCCCTCCCCGAGAGCATCCCATCTGAAGATGAAGCCCTGAGACACTGAGGGACACAAGAGGTAGTAGGGAAAGGGTGGTGGCAGCCAGCTTGCAGATGTGCTCTGAGTTTGGTCCCAGGCTAACCTGGGAGATGGCACACAGCCTGAGAAGCAGCATCTGGGTGGGAGCCTGTTGTAGCCAGAGGCACAGGGAGGGGAATTTGCAGGCAGGAGAGAGGTTGCAGGAGCCCAGTCTTGGCGGAGAGAGCGTAAGTTAGGGGGCTTGCCTCACCCTGGAGAGCACACACTTTCCTGGGACAGAGGGCAGAAGGGACATAAGCTTTCCCCAAGCTTGGGGCGCCTGACAACCTGCTACAGATTAATCCACACCACAGCCTGCAGGGAAGGCAGTACTAGGCTCAGCCATATGAAATTGCCAGTATGTACCTATTTTTGACCTGCAAAGACAGCAAATTCATATGGATCAATCTACTATTGGTCCCATTTTAAAGAGGGGGACACCAAGGCCCAGTTAGATGAAGGGACCTGCCTGAGGTCCCACAGTTGCTGAACTAGAACCCTGGTCAGTCTGCATCTCAAACTCCCAGAACTGGGCCCTGCCAGACACAGAGATTTTGAAAAGGAGGAGAGGGACGTGGAGCCTAGGCGAAAGCGAGAGGCTGGCTGATGTAAGGTGATACATAGGAGATGAACATCGGAGCTGCCCAAGTCTGATGTGGCCCACTCACGGAGCCCAAGGCCCGGGTGTGCGCCTGGGGTGCTGGGATGCGGCTTAGCCAAATGAGAGGATGCCCAGGGGCCACTACTGGTCAGGTGGAGCACGCCAGCCTTTGGCCCCTGCACTCAGCTCAGAATCCCCACCTGCCCAGCAGCTCAGAGGGCACCACAGCTTCCCCAGCCCCTCCTCCTTCCCAGGCAGACCTGGGCTTGGTCCCTAAAGAAGGACACTCTTGGAGCTGCCTCCTCCTTCCTGACACAGTTTGGACCTCAGGGCCTCCCTCGCATGGTGGAGCACAAGAGCACAGCTCCCCAGGGGAGACGCTAGGGCCTGAAGGGAAGAGACTCAGCAAGCCTGTGTGGCTTCCAAGGGTCCATCCCTTGCCACACAGCAATGCAGCTCTTCACCTGGATCACCTCGGGGAGATCACATCCCCTCCCTGAGTGACCTCTTCAGACCCCTCTGAGTGACCTGGGTCCCTCACACGAAGCCTGTTCCTCACATCCCACTGCACAACTCAGAGATGCCCAGTGAGGACTAGGAGACTTCAGGTCTTCCGGAGGAAGAGATGGATTATGAGCAAGGACAGTAAAAGGATGTCTCCGGATAGTGTTACCAAGCAGCCTTCAAGGCAAGGTGGGAACCCCTGCAGCCCCTGGGGGAGGCCTCCATTGCAGCCTGCCTGTCCCACCAGTCAGAGGAAAACTACCCAATAACAGGCCATATCACTCTCCCATTGAGGTAAGAATGGAGAAGGCGGTCTGCTTTGTTTCCTGACATTTCAGCAAGCAGCTGTTGACTCCCAATGCCTGCAGCACCCCGCTTACCAGGCACCCCTTACCTCCGCTCCCCGCAGCTCACGGGATGGGGCAGCGTGCCACCCCGGTTTCAGGTGCGGAGTCCACATGCGGCTGCAGGCAACCGGGGTCCACATGAGAGGCAGCACCCTACCCGGGTAGTGTGGCTCTGGGACCCCGGCCCTTTGAAGCCCACCCGCGCTCCCTCCCCAGGCTCCCGGCGGCAGGGAGTGCCCGGGCATCAGGGGGTCGCATCGGACTGAGCCCGGCTCCCTCGATCCCCGGGACCCAAGGGCGCGTTGCCGCCTCACCTGTTCCCGCGACCGCGGTGCTCTCTGCGCGCGGAGCGGAGCCGCCCTGCCCATCAGCCTGCTCGCCTGCTCCGCTCCCTCCTGCGCCGCTTCCGCCGGAGCCGCCCAGTCAGCCGCCCGCACCAACCCCGCCCAAGCCGCCCAGCGCCCTGAATGCCCCCCACGGCCTCCCCCGGAGCTGCTGCTCGGCACGCGGGCTTCCCCCACGCCCACCCCAGCCCTGCTCGCCCACCGACTGGAACTGCGCCCTTCTCCCTCTCTGAGCCTCAATTTCCTTATCCATAAAATGGGTCTGCGAAGCCCTGCCTGTCAGAAACTCTTCACAAGTATTAATTGCAGGTCTCTTGTAAGCCTGGCTGTCCTGCTGGCGCACAGACCTGAGCAAGACAGGGTCCCTCTCCCTGCATCATCCTGGAGCTCCCAGCCTGGGGGTAGAAGACAGACAAGGGTCAAGGAAGCAAGTAAGTTATTGCAGAGAGTGCAGTGCTGTGGGGAAATAGGTCAGCTCTACTTGGGTGGTCCAGGCAAAAGGCACAGCTAGTGCAAAGGCTCTGAGACTGCAAAGGCTCTGAGACTGGAGGCATTTATTTGGCTACTGAAGCCCACCATTTGGCTGGAGAATATCAGCAAGGGGGCTTCCAGAGATGCAGGTGGCATAGTGAGGGAGGGTCTTACAGGGCCCAGAAGAACCTCCAGGGTTGTTGCAACAAGAGGTAACTGAGAACGCACTTCCCCATTAGAGCCCAGGTGACACAGGACTTGACTGAAATGGAACAGCATTTGTTACAAGAGATGCTCCTATTTCAAATACACTAACTTATCATTTCCTTCTCCAAGAAAGCCACATGGTAAAGTCAAGTATACATTTGGATGACCTCCTGAGAGTAACAGATTGCTTCAATGGCACTTTCTAAATACGGGACATGCAGAACTCTCCTATAAGACCTTACATGGCTCCCCATGACCCACACTTCCCACCTCTCCTCCCACACACCAACCAGAGGTACCGTTCATGGAGTCATCTATAGAAATGGCTCTGAAGTTTTAGGCTGTAGCCCTTTCTAGAACAGCAGCTGCCATTTTGGCACATGCAGACTCTACAGATACCACCTTATTTGATCATCACAACTGTGATCATCACAGCTCAAAATAGGCATTTTTATTCCTATTTTACTGATGAGGCCAGTGACTCAAAGATTGAGCAACTTCCCAGAAGCCACTCAGCTAAGAAACACTCAGATACATAGATGAAGGGGATAAAGAGGCACAAAATCTCAATTATAATATAAATTAGTCACAAGGATGAAGGTACAGCATAGAGAATATAGTCAATAGTTCCATAACATCTTTCCATGTTGACAGATAGTAACTGAACTAGTTGGAGTGAGCATTTAATAATGTAGATAACTGTCAAATCACTATGTTGTATACTTAAAACCATATAATATTGTATGTCAACGACAGTTTAAAAATATCAAAAATTTAAAAAAATTTTTGCCAAACACCCAA